CATTTGAAGTGGATCAAAACCTTTCATCAAAGTTGTCCTAAAATCTAAAATTAAAATGCGTTCTTGTCTAAGGACAACTTTGATGAACTTTTTTGATCCATTTCAAATGTTGACTACTGTATATCTATACTATACTATATATACTATTTTAAACATCTAAAAAATATTACTAATCCCAAACTTTTGAACGGTAGAGTATATACTGTTACCATCTGATGATAAAAAAAGTGGAGCATTTTTAGTTTAATGGCGTCTAACTAACAATAAATACTGTTGTTTTACATTTTTAACAGTCTGATTAAATAACGAAACAAGATATAAAATAAATTCACCGCTTACTTTCAGTTTGTCCCATAGAAAATAGAAGGTCAGGTTGAGCACATTGAATTGTGGTTAGAGTATTAAACACAGTGTGCTCTGGTTCAATGATACACATTTTGACAAATGTAGCTGGTCAGCTGGGTTTTCCATGCATACAAAACAGTTTCTTACTGTGCCCAGTAGAAAGCAAACCATTCAGAACATAAACTTCCATCTTTATACGTACTATCACAAATGTATGAACCTGAGAGACTGTCGAGTACAGAATATTTTGCACACACACACACACACACACACTCACACACACAAACATGCGCTTTTCTACCTTAAGAGTAAGTCTTGAGGACGTTAATACTGACAACGGCTGCAACTTCAACACTGATAAGAGCCCAGAGAGACAGTAAAGGACAGATGGGACTGAATTAGACAAAGACTGTGACACTTGAGAAGGAGGGAAAACATTGACTGAATGCAAGGCAGAGTGAGAGAGGTGAGATGAAGGTCTCACAGAAAAGCCGTTCAGACTAGAGGAAAGAGACAGGATGTGGAGACCCTCGCAGTGGAGAGATCAGGAGAGAGGATTACGGTGTATTTCATCAGTGTCCTACAGCTGGACACATTTTCATTCGCTATTGCATTACAGTCCTGTGCATCCAGGGTGCATTTACATTTCTGCATACAGTATATCAGACACTTTTATCCAAAGCGACTTAAACTGGTGCACACAGTACACGTCTGTCCACGGTACTGCCATTTCAGCCAAATTGCAAAAGCATTCTTTTTATCAAAGGGCAAAATCACCAGTCTTTGATAGTTTAATGTGACATGCTCACAGATGACAGATTAATTGCCTTTCTGATAAATGTTAGTCTTCAATGTGTCTGATATTTTGGGTCACAAGACCTCCAGTGTGATTGCATTTGTGACTGCCATCTTTTGAAGAATGAATAAGACCACAGTGACACAGATTAGACAAATGCTAGCTTTAGGAAGTTTGCGATTGGTAAGATTAAAAATCTTATTTTTATTTAATTTATTTTTAATGTTATTGGAATAGGTCTCTCAAAGGCTGTATTTAAGCGCAGTAAAATAATATTCTAAAATATTATTGCAATTTAAAATACCCGTTTTCTATGTGAATATATTTGTAATTTATTCCTGTGATGTAAAGCTGAATTTTGAGCATCCTTACTCTAGTCTTCTGTGTCACATGATCCTTCAGAAATCATTCAAATATGCTACTGCTCAAAAAACATTTATTGTTATTATCAATGTTGAAAACCATTGTGCTGCTATATCCAGATTATTTGATGAGAAAGTTCAAAAGAACATATAAATGTCTATTATAAACGTGTCCTTACTGAATAAAAGTATTAATTTTGTTATAAAAATTAATCCCACCCCAAGCTTTTGTATATATGCTTTTGATTGTGACAGAAAATAATTTCAACTTGTGCCTCAGTTTGTAAAGAGGGCACATTTACATTAATTAATTTACACCGGAAGCCTAGTAGGCAATTATACAGCTCCGGAATAAATATACATAAATTATTTAATTTTCATTGTTTCAAAAGTGGAACTAAAACAAAAACAGGAATAATTGTAATGCAGCTTGGTTCATCTGTTCATCATCTTCATATTGACAATACAACTTCATGCCCATAAAACTAGTTTTTAAACCCCCAGGCTCGGATTCCATTGTAAGTTCATGACTACAATCACGTTTTCCTTCATTTTTACAATGCTCAGCGACTCAAAATTTCTGTGGTAATCGACAGCATATGTTGCATGTGTGTAGGTTGAACGGGAAAAGGATTTACCCGGGAAAATTCATTTAAGGACACGACTGGTCTACTTTAATTAATGTAATCGCCATCTCTCAGTGGAGTGGGTCAGTCCATATCCTCCCAGGTTTCAAATATGACTCCAGCTCTTTAATGAAGTTTTTTTTGCAATGGGTAGGGTGTCTGTGTGTGTGTGTGTGTGTGTGTGAGTGTTAAAGGCTGTACTCGTCTGTTAAACACTGCAGCTGTGCTTTCTGTGGGCGTGAACCCCTGGAGTTCACACACACACACACACACACTCAATGACTTACTCAGCATTCATCCACTCAAACACACTACATCAGCTGTTCATCCCTTTCTTTCACACACCCACACACACAAAGGCAGCACAAAGCCATAATAGTGGCGCCTCCGGGCAGGGATGTGTCCAGTACAAAGGCACTCTAATGACATGACCAATTAGGTATGGGCAGAGAGAAAAAGATAAAGAAAGAAAGAAAGACAGAAAAAAAGAGAATCCTGCAGTTTATTAGGCAGGTGAAAGGCCGAATGGAAAGTGTGTGGTCACAGGGTCACAGGTGAAGGACTGTGAGGCCAGACAAGAAGTGTGTGTGTGTGGGTGTGGTGAACAGTACTAATGACTCCAATTAACCACATGCAGATTCACACATGTACAGTCTCTTCTGGTTAATTGTGGAACTACTGCGGTAGAACCAGTGTTGGTATGGCACAGTATAAAAGTTTGGGAATGGTAAGATTTTTTAACTGTTTTTGAACGAAGACTCTCCTGCACACCAAGGCTGCATTTATTGGATCAAAAATACAGTGAAAACAGTAATATTGTGAAATATTTGAGCTATTTAAAATAGCTGTTTTCTATTTGAATATTTTTATTTTATACTATAAAATAATATTTTTATGGAATATTATGGAATTAGTTTTCTAAACAATATTTAATAAAGCTGGATGCTTGTCATTTGATGCACAGATTTTGATGGGTTTGGACTCTTTGTAGTTGTTAATTTAAAGGGATTTTCTGTTGTCTAGATCTGGGCGTTATAGACAATCATGTGTTCTCAATGTGAGCCTCATGAAACCCAATTAATTAATTATGCAATTATACAATTATGTGTATAATTAAGGAAAGGAATGAAATAAGATAAGGATCATACCTGACTCTGAGCGGTTTCAGCGATCACACATGCTGTATTGATGTAATTTCTTTTAAAGTCAGCGGGACTGCCAGCAGCGCTCGCAAGGACCGCCAACCCAGAAAGTTGACAAAAAATTGTTCTCCAGGCAGTTTAACAAGAATATTAGCTTTAGTTATAGTATTCAACGAAGGTTTAAAATAAATGAGGAGAAGAGTTGTGAAAACAATAACAGTGCAATCACAGACATTCCTATCTGGACAAGATTAGTTTTCTCTGAGGACCCTCTGGTAATAATAAAAAAACACAAGTAATTTGCTCAGTAATATTTTCTGGAGGTTGTGCAAGACAAACAGATATGTTCAATTTGGATGGGATTAAAATCTGTGTGTCTATGAAACACAAATTTGCCTTGAGCAAAGGTACTCAGAAGTTATATGCACTACCGTTGAGTAAGATTTAAGGTCAGTACGTTTCTTTCTTTTTTTATTCAGCAAGGATGCAATAAATTGACAAGAAGTGACAGTAAAGTCATCAACAATTTTTTTTTAAATAAATGCTGTTCTTTTGAACTTTCCATTCATCAAAGAATGTGGTTAAAAATATGAAGCAGCACAACAGTTTTTAACATTTCTTGAATCGTCTTATAAGAATGATTTCTGAAGGATAATGTGACACTGAAGACTAAAGACTAAAAAAAATTCAGCCTTGAATCACAGAAATAAATTACATTTTAAAATATATTCACTTAGAAAATTGTTATTTTCACATTATTACTGTTTTTACTATATTTTTGATCAAATAAATGCAGCATTGATGAGAAAAGAGACTTCTTTAAAAAAAAAAAAAAAAATTGTACCGATCCCAAAATTCTAAATGGTAGTGTATCATTTTGTTGAAAAATTTTATAAATTCATAATTGATACGTTTCTTAATCTGTCCATCCGTAGTACACATCCTCAACAAAAGACACCGATATGGATGTCAACAGTAATATCTTTTTTGTGTCTGTAAAACCACCAGAGGCCTGAAGATCATTATCCTTCAGCGAGTAAATTCACAGACATTCATTATGGAAACATTTCGAATAACACAGACACACACACACACACAAAAACCAGTGTAACACCACTTCAACTAGGAGGAAAATTCAGACCACATGTTTTGGTCTGAGTGAAACTGATATTAATCAAATCCAGATGTGTTTCCATCAATAAAGGGCTTGTGGACTGATTATGAAATGAAACTGGTCAGGGAAACGTGTCTGTATACCTGTCTTTTCCAGTCTCATGAGACTCTGCTTTGCTCATTCATGTGTGTGTCTGTATGTGTGTAGTGTTTTGTGTACGTCACGTCAGAGAAAAGACTACAAAAGTTTCATGGGTGACCTGCATGCATGTGGGTTTTATCTGCTGAAAGTCTGTGTTTGTGCGAAAAAAAAAATTGTACCGATCCCAAAATTCTAAATGGTAGTGTATCATTTTGTTGAAAAATTTTATAAATTCATAATTGATACGTTTCTTAATCTGTCCATCCGTAGTACACATCCTCAACAAAAGACACCGATATGGATGTCAACAGTAATATCTTTTTTGTGTCTGTAAAACCACCAGAGGCCTGAAGATCATTATCCTTCAGCGAGTAAATTCACAGACATTCATTATGGAAACATTTCGAATAACACAGACACACACACACACACACACACACAAAAACCAGTGTAACACCACTTCAACTAGGAGGAAAATTCAGACCACATGTTTTGGTCTGAGTGAAACTGATATTAATCAAATCCAGATGTGTTTCCATCAATAAAGGGCTTGTGGACTGATTATGAAATGAAACTGGTCAGGGAAACGTGTCTGTATACCTGTCTTTTCCAGTCTCATGAGACTCTGCTTTGCTCATTCATGTGTGTGTCTGTATGTGTGTAGTGTTTTGTGTACGTCACGTCAGAGAAAAGACTACAAAAGTTTCATGGGTGACCTGCATGCATGTGGGTTTTATCTGCTGAAAGTCTGTGTTTGTGCGAGGCTATAATCAAGTGATTGAATAGCTAAACATGCAGAAGAACATGATCATATTTCATATCATACACCGGACTTTGCCACACAGAGATTCAGAAGCGGTTTAAATCCCGAATCAAACTGTCATCGACTGAAATAGACACCGGAACATGTTTAGATTTGTTGTCTAAATGATTGTTTAAATGTTGACGCAAAACGACAAATGAGGTTTGTGCTTAAGACAGCAAGTTCTTGAGAGAGAGGACAGAATGTGTGTGTGTGTTTATTTGATGGGAAAGTGTGTTTGTTTAATGATAATAAAGCACTTATTCCCACAAAACCTGTTTCTCTGAAAAGACTATGGTGGTCCAGACTGGTTAATGCTGGTTAGTGCTGGTTTAGCTAGCAAACCAGAATAGCCATGTGACAATTAGCAGGTTAAGCTCATGACTAGCATTCAAAACACAACAGACCCTACTGTTTTTTATGTAACTCTTTGTCTCATTCTCTCTGTCCAGCGTGTCCTGTGGGTCATTTTAAGATGGGATCTGGTCCTGGCCCGTGTTCTTTGTGTCCTGACTCCAGTCACACAAGTGAGATGGGATCTGCCTCCTGTGTGTGTCGCCCTGGTTTTTACCGTGCCCCTACCGACAGTCCAGATACACCCTGCACACGTGAGTACAGCTCCTTTCCCTCAGCCATATAAAGACAACTGGATCATATTTGATATGCAAATTTATAAGGCCTCTCAATTATTAACATGATCAAAACTGAAAAACATGTTTTACACAATCTACTATGACTTCAATCTGCTACGTCCCCTTTCAGGTCATGATTTAAATGTAATTTTACTGTGAACTCTTTTACTGATTTTTAAGAAGCAAGTATAAGAAAAAATGTCATACTATTAGCAATATTTCAAGATTAACATTTCCTGAAGCAACTTTTGTTTTTAGATGTTAAAATGTAAGTATCAAATATGATGAGGCCTTTTCATCTCTCAATCAACATTGCATTATATGTTTTACCTAGGGCTGTAGTATTAAAATATATTGTAGTTTACCATAAATGCGACTGGAAGAAGAAAACAATCTACTACACTATACAAGTCTATACAACACTACACCATACTAGTAGTGGTAGTGTACTTCAGATCTTTAAAAAAATCTATATGTATCTTTATCTATTCTATTATGTTTGTATTTTTTAAAAACTACACTTTTAAAAAGTGTCAAATTAAAGTACATGTTAAATCATTGTTTAAAAATATGTTGTTATAATAATATGTTGTTTAACTGGAGCGTGTAATTCGATATTGAATTTAAAGTTAATATAGGTTAAATGTACCAAAATGCATCATCTTTATTTTAAATGTGTGCTTACAAATATATTTAAATACACAACATGAAAGTTTCAACAAAAATGACATTAAAGTATGTTTAAGTTTACCATAAATTATGTCATTGCATTTGGCAGCAAAGGTGATAGCAGTAATTATGACTTTTGCATATAAAGATGTACTTAAGTCTTTCAAAGTGTGTCAAAAAGCACTATTAAGTTCAGCTAATTGTATTTAATAAAAATTAAACCTAATGCATTTTTATTTAATTGCAATTAACATTTAATTTACTGTCCTAAAACATTACATTCAAGTTGCACTTATGTATATTCTTTAAAATAAAAAATAATAAGTAACAGCAAGTAAAAGCAATACATATAAAGTAATAAAAATAAGTGCTTTACTTACACTCTTTACCTCTTATTGGTTACAGTAAAAATAGAGCACACAGCATTTACTCAAAATGTGATTTTTCATCACTGTAATTCAGTATTTTTTACCTCCATTTTCTCTGCTCTCTTCTCTATTTTTATGACCTCTCCCTATTTCCCTGTCTCCATCCTACCCATTCGTTCCATCTTTATCTCAGCGCTTGTGTTTTATTGATCGCTCTCTCTGTGGCCCAGCTGCTCACTGTTTACTCTACAGACCTGCCAGACTAATTAACAATTAATACATTCAAACAGCTCAGAAATGGTACGTGAAGAATCAATCAAATGATTTTAATGGAAGATACTGGTGTTTGTTCTTCTGACAGGAGCGCGGTTCTGAGGAAAACTCCTGTCATTTTATGGAGAGTAATATCAACGAGGTCGTATTGAGCGACTTGCGCAGGGCGACACAGTACGAGGTTCAGGTCCGCGCTCGCACCTTGGGCGGCTATGGCAGCTTCGGTCAAGCTGTCATCTTTCGGACCCTTCCTGACGGTAAGAAAAGTTGTAGTCAGAGGCGCCAGTTTGGTGTTGTGGTAATTTATTAGTGCCCAACTTTTTGTGCCTCAGAGTTTTGTTTGAGAAGGCATTTTATTGATTTTTTCCCCCTCCTTGTGTAGATCGAAGCCAATTTTTTCTTTAGATTGTATCGTACCTTTTTCCGTTTTTAAACCATTTCTCTCTCACTCTGGCTGTCTGCCTCTCTCTGTTTCCCTAGAAGATGATTCCTCGTCTCCGCTGCTTGTTACTGGGATCCTTATAGCCATGGGCATGCTGCTCCTCATCATCGTCATTGCTGCTGCAATCTACTGTATAAGGTACAACAAGAGACCAACAAGAAAAAGAGAGTGTGAGGTTGTTATAATTGGGCTTGCGTGGAAACTAGAAAGCTCAGGAGATTTCCACAGCCATCATTCACACATCCTCTGTCCATCGCATGCTTGCTTATTAAATATTTTAGCTATTTTAATGCTTTCATAGAAATCTTAGCAGTGTCTAACACATTTGACCATATTTATATTATGTGCTGTTTTCAGTGTTGAGATACTGTCTCTTATCCTGGGTTAATAAGAGGCAACAATAAGTAAGCCTTTTGTAGGTTAATGACCTGAACACTGACTTTGTGACACTTTCAGAAAGATTGCATTTCAAATAACATGTATTTTATGTCATCTGATTCAAATAATAGTTTGGGTTTAGGAATACCTGTTTTATTGAGTAATGAATGATGGGCATTATATGGGAAACTTATTTGGAAACAGTATTATGTTTGCTCAAATTATAAATGTTGTTATTTTTAACTAAAACTAAAACCAAGGTTATCATCATTTACTAAAACTAAATTTTTTTAAAATATTTTTGTTACTTGAAATAAAATTAACATTAACTGAAATAAAACAATATATAAAATATATTTTATTTCAGCTAGTTGCCAAAGTAACATTTCTAATTTTTGTTTAGTTTAGGTACTGAAATAACTACAATTAAATAAACTAAAATTTAATTTAAAAACTATATATATATATATATATATATATATATATATATATATATATATGACAAAAACACATATAAATACTAAAAATTTAAAGTGAAAACAGAAAATATGAAAATCATAAAAATGTAAATATTAATAAAAAGTATAATAGTATATCAATGATACTAAAATAACTGACTAAAACAATAAAAAATCTTTTTCTGTAATTAAAACTAAATAAAAACAAAGTTATAGCAAAAATTTGACATGTTGTCTAGGCAATTAACTGAAATAAAATAATTTTATGTAGAAGTACTAAAATTACTAAAACAAATAAAAAAAATTAAGCCAATTAGAAATATAAAAACTAATACAAATGACAAAGTAAATAAAATTACTAAAATCAGTTTTTTTTTTATGAATACTGTAATAGTATATAAATAATATTGTAATAACACAGTAAATCAATTTTGCAGAATTGCACTGATTTCTCCACACAGCCAGAGTGGAAAAAAGTGGTAATTCTGTGTGGAACTAATTAAATTAAGTGACAATGACTTAATTTGCATCTAGCCTTTCGTATACCAGTTTGAGCTGAAAGACCTAATGTACTCTTCCAAAGTGATCAGACTGTCCTAACAGTTATTTCAGCTACATTTGCGGAAACTGAGAAAGAGAGCGAGGGAGAGAGAGAGAGAGAGAGAAGAGAGGAGAAATGGGAAGTGGAGACAGGATGCAGTAGTCCCACCCCAGGCTCTACAGGCCAATTCAGTTGAACAATAGTTGTGACCCTGGGGTAGCACACACACACACACAGACACACACCTCTCTTTAAGCGCAAGTGTACTTACACAATGAACAAACTGTTTACATTCTTACACTCCAGTGGACACGCAAACTCAGATATTGCTGATAAATGGGATGTATGTATGCCCACGTATGCACAGTTAAGATTACAGGAGCGTGCCTGTTTAGGGGTTTACATATATTGTTCACAATTGCACACATTACATATACAAACTTTCACACCCAGTTAAATGGAGAGTCCCTACAATCAATCTCTCTCTCACACACACTCCGAGCCTCCGGTCCAGACCTGCCATCAGCACTGGGTGGGACAAACGCAGCTATTTTAGTCCTGGGAAATCAGGGATAGATGTTGAAAAAGTTTTTCAAAGCCCTGAGGTTCTAAGTTATGTTTTTTTTAATAATCAAAGTATTAACTTTTGTTTTAGATGTTTCTCCTAAAATGCCTTAAGATAAACAAAAGTGAATCTGAATCAACTTTTAGGGTAAAAAAACCCCCCTGAATTTTTAAAATCTTGCACAGTTATACTTCTAATGCCAATGTATTTAGCTTTAAGAATTACTTTTAAGCAACGCCTACCTTTTCCTTTTAACCTTAAGTCAAAAAACAATAAGGTTCTCTGAATACAGTTTTGAGCCATTAGCAAGCATCCAAAACACAAAGAAGGAACGAGAAGGACATTCCGTGAAAAGAGAGAGAAGAAAATAACAAGAATATCAAGGAGAACTGGCTAGAACAACTTGAGTAATTTAAGATGGTGTTAGAGTATAATACACTATGAAATGGTTTGAATAAGGACCCAGAGCCTGAGGTGAGAAACAGACACACAGGAAGAGGAAGAATGGGGTGGAGAAAGGGATTTTGTATGCATTCAATTCATTCTTTGCTCAGAGTAATATGACAACACAGGACAAAAACAAACATGAAACACAAGCATAAAGCCTCACACTGTGCCCAAATCAGGCATGACACAACAAGTTTCCAGTGTCAAGTATTTTTCCGCCCTTGCTAAAAAACTACAGACTGCACACAAAGTTTACAACCAATTGATGCAATCTAACATTAGCATGTGGCTAAGCTAATAACACAGTGCTCAAATGGAACACACGATTAATACATTCTACTATTGAATGAAATGCTTTTAGAATCAACATTTCTTATTTAATCAGCCAAAAACCTAAAAGGAGTTTTGCATTTGTCACCAGTGTTTATCATCAAAAGACGTCCTACATATTTGGTAACATTTTGTTTAGATCATAAAGCAGACACTGACTCACTTTTCTGTTCACAGGAAGCAAAGTAATTTCAAAGATCCAGAAATGAGTGACAAAAATGGCCAATATCTCATGGGTCAAGGTGAGCACAGCAACACACAACATCTTATAATTATGCATTCTGGTTAAGTTCTGGATTTTTTGATTAATGGAACTGATATTTTTCTCTCTAAGGAATGAAAGTTTACATTGATCCATTCACGTATGAAGACCCTAATGAGGCCGTGAGAGAGTTTGCTAAGGAGATTGATGTCTCGTGTGTCAAAATCGAGGAGGTTATTGGGGCAGGTAAGACACAGTGTGTCTTCTTTTGGACATATTTCAATTTCAGACATAAAGTCACATATTTAGTTTCAGTCATTTGAAAGATACAACAAAAGCATACTATGTTGAACTGATTCTTTGATATTTGACATACAGTCACATTATTATTGAGATAGATTGTTTCAAAGCAGCTTCACAGTATCAAACATGAAAATAACATTGTTAATTTGGTGCAATTCATAAATTTTAGTTGTAAAGCAGCTCTACAGAAGACAATAGTGTCATTGAACTAAATTGAGCTGAATACTGTTGTTTCAGTTCAGTTTAATAACTGTGACAGTGTTACAGAGTTCATCAGTTATGTCAATTTCAATAGTAAAGCGCCTCTACATAAGGAAATCGTGTTATTATTCAGCTCAGTTTAGTTCTGTGTTGTGTCATTTCCGTTCAACTGTGTCAGTATTATAAATTATGAAAATTTTAATATATTAATATTAACACCAAGCAACCCTAAAAAGTCTTGTCTTGTTGCTCATGGCTTATTACAGTCGCAACGTGTTAGGACAAAAAAATTATTTGCATGAAAAGATTGAAAAATTCCCAAAGCTGAGTCCCTTGTTTTTTTTGCTGTTTGTTTGCTGTTCTCAGGGGAGTTTGGAGAAGTCTGTCGTGGACGGCTGAGGATTCCGGGTAAGAAGGAGAACTATGTTGCCATTAAGACTCTTAAGGGTGGATACACAGACAAGCAAAGGCGGGACTTCCTGTCTGAGGCCTCAATCATGGGCCAGTTCCAGCATCCCAACATTATCCACCTGGAAGGCATAATAACAGCCAGCTGCCCAGTCATGATCCTCACTGAGTTCATGGAGAATGGAGCTCTGGACTCCTTCCTGAGAGTAAGTATGCGCTGGATCTAGTGCTACACGTTTGTTGATGAAACCATCTCATTGGCTCTCGTACACAAAGTCTGACTGACATGAATCTTTCTTTCTCTCCAGCTCAATGACGGTCAGTTTACTCCAATACAGTTAGTCGGCATGCTGCGTGGCATCGCGTCAGGAATGAAATATCTCTCTGAAATGAGCTACGTACATCGTGATCTTGCTGCTCGGAACATTCTCGTCAACAGTAACCTGGTCTGCAAGGTGTCTGACTTTGGTCTGTCGAGATTCCTGCAAGAGAATTCATCTGATCCTACGTACACCAGCTCACTGGTAAGAGCAAATGCTTAAGAAACATTAAGTACTTCACATGAAAAATGCAAGCAGGCACGTCTAGCAATACAAGCATCATGATTTATTCTAAAATGCTTTTTTTCAGGGTGGTAAAATTCCAATCCGTTGGACGGCACCTGAGGCTATTGCATTCCGTAAATTTACCTCTGCATCAGATGTATGGAGTTACGGAATTGTCATGTGGGAAGTGATGTCATTCGGAGAGCGGCCATACTGGGACATGAGCAATCAAGATGTATGTGGTTGTGATGTTTGACATTTTAAAGCGATTGCATTTTGTTTTACATTAAGTTTGACTTTAGATTGAATCAGAGATGCAATAGAAATTGTGTCCACTACCTGTGGTTGATAGTTACTTTTGTTATGGTAAAATAGGCAAAATGTTTTCATTTTGAAAGGTTGAAAGGTTTGGGGTCAGTAAGAATTTTTTTTTCTTGTTGTTGTTGAAGAAATTAATACTTTTATTCAGCAAGGTCATTTTAAATTGATCAATAGTGAGAGTAAAGACATTTTTAATGTTACAAAATATTCTATTTTACATTTAAAATCCTGAAAACTTAAATATATCATGGTTCCCACAAAATATGAAGCAGCACAACTGTTTTCAGCATTGATATTAATCAGAAATGTTTCTTAAGCAGCAAAGCGGCATGATTTAGAAGGATTTCCGATTATGTGACACTGAAGACTAGAGTCACGATGATGAAAATTCAGCTTTGAATCACAGAAATAAATGACATTTTAACTTATATTCAAATAGACAATGTCTATTTTAAATTATAATAATATTTCACAATATTACTGTTTTTATTGAATTATTAATCAAATAAATTTCAGCCTTGATGAACAAAAGAGACTGTTGTTATTCAAAAATCTTACCAACCCACCAAAAAATGTTGAATGGTGTACATTACAAAAAAAAGATGTTTACAATATCAGCCTAATCAGAATGAAACAATAATATTTTAAAAGTGCTAATATGTGACCCTGAACCACAAAACCAGTTTTAAGTCCCTGGGGCATATTTGTAGCAATAGCCAAAAATACATTGTATGCATCAAAATTTTTCTTTTATGCCAAAAATCATCAAGACATTAAGTAAAGATCATGTTCCATGAAGATCTTTTGTAAATTTCATACTGTAACTATATTAAAACATAATTTTTGATTAGTAATATGCATAGCTAAGAACTTCATTTGGACAACTTTAAAGGTGATTTTCTCCATATTTAGATTTTTTTGCACCCTCAGATTCCAGATTTTCAAATAGTTGTATCTCAGCCAAATATTATCCTATCCTGACAAACCACACATCAATGGAAAGCTTATTTATTCAGCTTTCATATGATGTATAAATCTCAATTTCAAAAAATTTACCCTTATGACTGGTTTGTGGTATGGTCATTATACATGTGTTTTCAGTAATATATCTTCTCTTCATTAACACAATCTGTTTTACCCAATCAGGTGATTAATGCCATTGAGCAGGATTACCGGCTGCCTCCTCCTCCTGACTGTCCCACTCACCTGCACCAGCTGATGTTGGACTGCTGGCAGAAGGAGCGGACGGCACGGCCACGCTTTTCCAACATCGTCTCAGCACTCGACAAGCTGATTCGCAATCCTGCCTCGCTTAAAATCACCGCCCAAGAGGGGGCAGGGTACGTTTCATATCCATTACAGCCCTATATCACTTATAATTTCAGTTGCTTCAAAAAGCCACAGCAAAAGGTCCAAAAACCACAAAGACCTGGCAAATAAATCTACATCTTTTTTACTACTTTTTATCAATGGAAAGTATGCATGAAATTGCCAATTGATTTTTTTGATTTAGAATCAAATAAATTCAAGGACACTTCATTTTTTAGTTCCGTTGCTGTCGGTTTTATGTTACTGTGTCAACCCAAAATCAATGTTAGACAGTAACAAGATTACTGAAGAATACACTGCTGTGCAAAAGTCTTAGGCCATTAGCATTTTCACAGATAAAAAAATAAAATGTGAGCAATGTGATTACAGTAATGCATTTACCCAACAATGCTTGTCAATCAAGAACATAGCAGTTCCTGTTTTAGGTTTAGTGGCATCTCACTCTGTCCGTCATTTCATTAGCTTCGCTCTTGAACACACAGTATGGCCTCTTGTATGTTAGTCTTGCCCCTCCCCTCTCAGCATGTCGGCCTGTCAGTCTGTCAATCAAGACTCAGTATGACCACATATCTGTCCGTCACATTTTGGTCTTTGCCCTCCCCCTCTCCTCAAGGGAAAGCTGTCAGAGTCTTTCTCCATTTGTTCCTGCAGGCCGACTCAAGACATCATCTTAATATGGACAATTACATGCGTTTTAACACTTGGCTCTCTCTTGCTCCTCAGACCCTCTCACCCTCTGTTAGACCAGCGTTCCCCTCTGACGCCCACATCCTGTGGGACAGTGGGAGACTGGCTCAGGGCCATTAAGATGGAGCGTTACGAGGAGAGCTTTCTACAGGCTGGGTACACGTCCATGCAGCTGCTCGCTCACATCACCACAGAGTGAGTGAAGAGAACGGCACCTTCATTCAACAACATCTTTCATTTGTCGAATATACTGAAATCCAGTTATAATAGACAGCAACATAGTACGTAATTACAAGGAAGATTAAAAAAAAAATTCCGCTGTGAAGAGTAAATAAATAAATTTGCAGTCTAATTTATAACAATAAAAATAAATGTTAATAAACAAAGACATAGAATCAAAAGAATTAAATTAAAAGTATTATTATATTATATTATATTATACATATAATTCCATTAAAAAGTTTGGAGTTGGTAAATTGTTTCTGAATTCTCTGAAGTTCACTAAAGCTTATTAAACATTATACATATATTTTCACTAATATATAATTTGTCCCTAGAACATATTCATTTCATTTTTTTATTTGCACAATTTGTTTTACCCAATCAGGTATTAAAATAAAAGCATGTAGTGCTTTCTAAATGACAACATGGTCTATGCAATGAGAAATGAAGGGATTTGTGTGTAGAGTTTTGCAGTGACAGTTCAACAAATCTGATTCATGTGTCAAAAAGGAGAATAGTGTATATAGTTTAGGGAAATGGGTGTGTTTTTGATAAATGGCGTTATGGTTTTGAAATTGTAGTTCAAAAGCCTGGTGATAGTGTTTAAGCAATAGAGAAAAACTGTAAAATGTAACAAAGAAATTAAATAAAAAGATTACATTATATAACTTTGTTATTGTTTTGAAAGAAGTCTCTTATTTTCATTAAGTCTGCATTTGATTACAAATCTATCCATTTAATTAATAAAAGAATGTTTTTCTGTTTGAATATATTGTAAAATGTAATTTACTCCTGTGATGACAAAGCTGAATTTTCAGCATAGTTTCTCCAGTCTTCAGTGTCACATGATCAAAAATCATTCTAATATGCTGATTTGGTGCTTTGAATTGAACTGATTTAGAAAACTTTTGTGACAATTTTAAAGTCTTGACGCTCACTTTTGACCAATGTAATGCATCCTTGCTGAGTTAAATTATTTAAAAAAAATTGGAATCCAAACTTTTGACCTTAGTGTATATCTTTATTCATTTTAAATATGTAAACACAATAATCTAATCTTTTCTAAGCTCATCGCTGCTGTTACATTAAAAGCTAAGATCTAATTCTTTATTAAACTTTTATTTCTCTCTGCTTCCACCTTTCAGGGATCTGCTGCGTTTGGGAATAACTCTGGCTGGTCATCAAAAGAAGATTCTGTCCAGCATTGAGGCTCTTGGGATTCAAAACAAAACTCCAGGGAATGTGCTCTACTGAGTGAACCATCCACACACACAAACGCTTGTTGAGTTGCCCAAGAACCTTCATGTAACCTACCCACTCACAATCAGGAACGTTTGTACTTCCTTTTTTACCGGGTCACTTAAGGATCAAATGGCTTACTTGCTTCCAAGACTACTTAAAGAGAACCAGTCCGGGAACCTGTCGGAACTATCACTGTAATACCACTAATATTACAAAGCTTCATTTGTGATATCAAACGGGCCACGTAGGAATGTAACCTCCACCATTTCAACATTTTTGGGAGCCACATGATGTAATCCAAAAGCAAAACTTGCTCTGACATCATAATGCAAAGACAGTGATGCAGTATTTCCATTTTTGCAGAGTATTTTTCTAAAGGAGACTTTCATAATGAAGAGACTGAAGGAGGATATACAGCAAAAGATGAGAAATATGATCTTTATAATGCAAGAATTTGGATACAAGTATAAGATTATTAATGACGACTTCATCCTTCGTATTAAGGATGTGCTGTGCGTGAACGGACGCATACTCACACTAAGTGCCAAGTAATTGGTATTTTGTTTTTAAATTATGCACTCTGTGTGTGAGTGTGTATGTGAGCAGCAATAAGAAAAGCAAGCACAAAAGTCTTGGCACTTTTTTTCTGAAGAGAAAGACATGACGCAGAGTTTCCATTGGTGGATAAAATATGCGAAATATACATGCTTATACAAATACACACAAACACACACACACACATAGAGATCTGCAACACTTGACTGGCACTAAAAAGAGACCAAATAAAAGACTGTCTGTTGTTTTATGAGTAGCCGAAAGACTCGAAACGACCTTTGAACGTGTGCCATACTGTTTTGTTTATTGACTCACCAACTTGAAGCTGGTGTCCATCATCAACTAACCACAAGATTCAAAAGCCACCCTTTCATACCACACGTGGGTTTATGGGTTGGAGGATTTGGTCTTCACATTGGAGACCCACAAGAACAAAGCAGGGACTTTTATTCTGTTGCCTCTTGTATTTGTATAAATATATCTTGATTTATGTAAAAAGATTAATTTTCTTTGTCAGTGTAATCTGGGTTTCTGTTACAATAAAAAGTATACATTTAATCTCGTTTTGAATAGTTTTCTGTGCTTCTTGCTTCTCTTTTTAACAACAAAGAATCACATGGGTTTCACTACTATTTATTTATGTCAAAATATGGTTAGGTACAATGTATTGTGTTCATGTTGAATTGCAAATGACATTTTCTGCTATTTAAATGGGATACGCTTAATGTTAGGTGGTTCGGTGGGTAAGTTGTAATTACAGGAAGGTATTTTTCAATGTGAGTACAATGTAAAAAGCATGCATGTATGCAATAAGTTCATTGTATTTTGTTGGTAAACAAGGTGAATAAATGTTACCAACTTGAATCTGTTGTAAAATCTGCATGGGGAAATCATTCGCCCCATTTCCCAATCGCATGAATTCGTATAAAAAGGACTTAATTTTGCCTGTGAAAATTCACTGAACAGTAAATGTGTCATACCTGTGAGGTAAGAAGTATGATGGATACTATTATTTGTAAATACAAGAGGAACTGTTGAGAAAAGTAAAATGTGGTAAAGTCTGCTAAAATTTTACTCTGTGTAGCACCTTTCGCTCTGCAGAACCTTTTGAGGCTCCAAAATGTTGAGAATGGGTGGCTGAAGTTTATTTTTGAGATTTAGATTCCTGGCTATTTCAATCTGATTATAATCATTTGAGTGCCACATTTCGTATCACAGATTGTTTGTGAACATTTTGCAATGTTATACAGATTTGCAAAGAGAATGTTACTGAAAGATGGGGCATCAAAACAGGATCTGACAGCAACCTGTAAGCACAGAAAAAAGGAAAGCTAAAGAGCACATTTACATATGCTTTCAAAGCGCAGCAGAAAAGATAAACTGTTGAATTAAGAAGGCTGTTAGATTCTAAGGGTCAGAGAGAGTCTAAAAATGGAAAACTAAATTATGCCTGCTTTTGGCACATGAAATCTTTCACAGACATTCTAAGTCAACCTCAGAGAAAAATCTAAATAAATAAAAAATGGATATGACCCTTTTAATTCTTGCTCTCTTTCCATTTCACAAACTTTTCCCCAAGTTCCTCCTTGATCCTTTTATCTCTGACCAAATATGCCACTGTCTGCGCACACGTACACATACACCTGACGAATGCATATTTCCATAATTGTTTTGGGGTGATCCGATTTCTTGTACATTCTAGTTTTAAGCATTCCTCCCTGAAGATACAATGACCTTCTCTGCTCTGCAGAGGTGCGAGTGAAATTTGGGAATGGGGCTTAGAGTTCCCCTCCCCCCGGTTTGTCTCTACCCCAATGGTCTCGTCCCCAATCCCTTCAGAAGAAAGAACCAGTTCTTTCTCAAGACTCCTTGAAAATGTCCTTGACTTAAACCTTCCATCTTCCTGTGGCTTCATCTCTCTTTTTCTCCCATGTTGCAGCTTCCTTGGTTGTCTGTCTTCCAATTCTTGCAAACACATCTGGCATGCAATGGTATTTAGTAAATCTCATGGAAACATGTCCAGGTAAACTTACATCCCAAAATCAAAATAGATCAAAATAAATAATATATTGCATAAAGAAACAAAGTAATTTAGAACAATTAAGACTGTTTACAGTCTTTTAATGACAATTATTAGTATTTTCCCCTGAAATTCATTAATGCAGTAATGCGCTTTGATGGTTTACTTGTTTGCTTCTAATTCTCAAAGCTAATTATCTATATGTACTCAAAGCTAATTATCCTTAGACTCTCATTGCTGAAATGGAGTAAATGGATGAAAATCACTGTCCCAACTACACTGTAAAAAATGACCGTGAATTTCACCCAAAAATGAAAATTACGCCATAAATTACTCACCCTCAAGTCATCCTAGGTGTATATGACTTTCTTCTTTCAGACGAATCCAGTCGGAGTTATATAAAAAATTGTCTTTGATCTTTCAAGCTGTTTAATGCCCCTCAGCAGGTGTTGCATTCATCAGTCCAAAAGAAGTTAAATAAAAAGTGCCCATCCTTTTTAAAAAAAGTGTCTCACACGGCTCCGGGGGGTGAACAAAGGTAGCGAATCGATGCGTTTTTGTAAGAAAAATATCCATATTCAAAATGTAATAATCACTTTAATCTAGCTTGTGCCAACAGTTGTACACGGAAGCAGCTCCCGGTCGATGACGTATGAGTTCAGCGTTGTGCATGCGCCGGTGAGTCTCGTGAAAACCAACGTTTGTTAACAGGAGCAAAGGAAGCAAAGATTCCTTACTTTAGCAAAGGAAAACCAGTCTCCTCTTGGCTTATATCGAAATCCTCCGACATTCTTCTTTACAAATCCTCATTTTGTACTTCTAATAAGTGACCGTTGTTTTGTTTTGATCTCTCCCCTGCGCTTCCACGTTCGTCATTTCTGAGTATGCTTGCTACCATATTTTTTATGCTAAAAATGCGACAACCACAGCTGCCATTTTTTTTTGCAGTGTAGAATTTAGAATTACACCAATTAATTTCATCTCTATCTTCTTTCTTCTTCTTTTTCTAAAAAGATGTTCACACTTTTCTGATCAATCAGTTGAAAGTTTTTCTAAATTGACAAACAAGCAGCATTTCAAGATGTAGCCCAAAACAAATATAGAATAAATATGAATATGCTACCATTTAGATCGTAAAATTACGGTGACCGGGAGGGGACGTCTTTGGTTCACTTAGTTAGGCCACGACATAGGCTGTGTTTACACTTGGCATTACCATGCGATCACTGTGATCTGATCAAGCAGATCCAATCATCAGTCAATCAGAAGACATCCCCTCCCAGTCACTGTATAAAATAAATTTGCATCAAAGTAAGAACAAAAACAACAATATTTATAATGCATATTGATATTGTATTGATGAAATGTTCCAATAATGTATTTAATATTATTAAAAAGTAAAAAATTACTAGTATTTAAAATAAACATTCTGCATATCAGTTATCATAAATGTGTATATAATAACCAAATAGAATTGTTTGTCGTGCAAAAAATTACATTAGTAGATCTCTAGTCTGGACGCAATACTTGTACTAAAATTGACATTAAAAGTAGTACAATATATACTACCATGGTTTTATTTATTTATTCAGTAAGATTTTTGGGCAGTGTCAAAAATTAAGCTATTTTGTAGTCTCAAAAATGCTTTTTAAATGTCAAAAAGCTGTCAACATTTCAGAATCAAAAAAGAAAAAAAATTATGCTATTTTTTTATTTGATTCTGAAATGTTGACAGCCTTTTTTGACATTAAAAACGCATTTTTGAGGCTGCATCTAAAACCTATATGATCAAAATTGTTAATCTGTAAGAAACTGAAACAAGAAACTACTGTCAAATAGAAATAGTATTAATGATAGGTCCATATTACTAGGGCGGAAGAGTGAACAAGAGATCATGATTGTCCTTACTGTGGTAAGCTCTTCTGAATGCTTCAGCAAATTATATGTTGCTGCATGAAGTTTTCGGGGTCTATGATTGTCTGTCTTAGCTGCGTGTGTTTGCTCCAGGAGCCTTTATCTTTTGAGGAAGAACACAAAGCACATTCCTCAAGTGTCCCACCCAACCCCCATTCCAATCTTTGTCTTTAAAACAATGCCTGCCAGCCTCTCCTCTTACCATGCATCCCTTTGCAGGACAAAAGACAACAGTATGCACACTCCTCTCTTCCTTCACATATGGATTGATCATTTTCCTCAGTCATTACTCAAGCCAAAAATCTGAACATCCCAACTTTAACAGCTGTCCAGATTAAGCATCTTTGTGCAAGGTTGTGTTCTCAACTCTATACTAAAGCAATAAGCCACGAGAGGCCAGTGATTTTAACACAGTTAAGGGTTGTTGTTGTTGTTGTTGGGGTTGTCATAAAGCAAAATGAAGAATATGTACACGAAAAGGAATAGAAATTAGTATGTTTTAAATGTATGTGCCAAACTACATTTCAATGATTTTGATAATATTCCATTGACACTTACAGTTCAGATATTGTATCATTAAATTATAGACCAGGAAAAACACATTTCTAAAAGCCAGCATAGCCTTCCATTTTAAAATTGGAAGTTTGTGGCCCTATCTGTTAGTCAGTATGAACATTATGTCAATGCTAGCAAAATTTTGTACAAATCATTGATTAGTTAGGGTAGTTAGGTAACTCAGTAGATGTATTTGATAGTATGATAGTGAAGGATATGATTAAAGTGTAAAATAAATCATAAAAAAATCATAAGGTCCATTTACACTGTTTACAGAAGATACAAGCAGTGCTTATTGAGGTACTTTGCAGTCACACTGGTGGTTGGCAGTAGTTTGTTATTCATATCCTTATGATCATGGTATAAGAAATCACAGTCATAATTCTCTGAAATAATACATACAGGAACAAAGGGATATAACAGCACGAAGAAAACAAATTATGGAGGATATTTTATAAAAGTTATAAACATTGTGGCAAAACAAAAAACTGTATATCTTTGGAACACTAAGTGGTGCTGCCTTCCAACTTCTCATATACCTTGATGTTATGCTGTCAATGATCCC